GCTGAAACCAGAATTGCCAGCCCTTTGAAGATCCCCAGTCCTTGTATATCACTATGCCCTTTGAAAATCCCCAGCCCTTTTGTATACCTGCAGGCCTTTGCATATGTCCAGCCTGCTTACTTATTAACTGTCCATTTATCATACCCTTTGGCTATTTCCCCATGTAATCCTTTGTATTTCTACCAATATAAGCAGCCTGCTTATGGTGAGGTGCAGAGCAGATTTCTGTGGATGACCTACTGCTCTCTCATATTGCTGGCAGCATTGGAATATACACTCATATATGATTCAATCCTGTTTCTGCTGAATTGGCTCAAGTAGTGAGAGGCAGCACAGACCCAGTGATTATCTGGGTAAACTTCACCCTTGAAACTTTCATCCCTTAGCTCTAATAACACTCACCCCACCCCCTTTATTCCTTTCATGTTGTAGATTGCTCTTTCTGGATTTTCTTACTTTATTTCTCTTCCTCTGCCTACCCTTTAAGTACTGGTATCATCAGGATCTTGTTCTAAAACTTTTTTCATAGTTGTACATAGTTGTTTTAGATAATCTCATCTAATACTGAAGCATGGTGGTCCCTCCATTGGAAAACTGCTGTTTAAAACTGATGTTTAAGCTACTCTGTTATGTTCAGATAGTCTCTTATTCTGTAAAATATAACTTTGTTTTTTTAGCTTGAATAATAGAAAAGGTAAACTTAACTGTCTGACCTTGCAAACTAGCCATCTAAAGGGACTGATACACTGATACGGATAATAATTCCCATGTTCGCATGTCAAATGTTTGTATCCAAGGTTACATGTGTCTATGTAGATATAGTATGTATTCAAGGTTACAAGTTGTCTGTATAGATATAACAGGTGCTTGCTAGATAAGATAGGTACTCAAGGTTACAAGCTGTCTACAAAAATAACTTACACAAAAAACTAGAAGAATATAAAAAGGAAATACTCCTTCCTGTGTTTGTTCAGAACTTGACATCTGCTCTGAACCTGCACTCAATAAAGATGACTCCTAACTAATTGGCTCATTAAGGCATCTTATCCAGCTCACTGTTTTTGCAATACAACATTTGGAGGCTCCAGCAAGATAAGAGACAAGTGCCTACCCACACCTAGTCTCGGACGCCTGGGGTTTACAGCCTCCCGGCCTGGATACCAGGCCCTGAGAATCTCTAGAGGTACCACCTGACAAAGCTTTTCAGCACCCCAGAGACACTTCTCCAGTCTTAACAGCCAGACAAGAGATACCTGACATGTCTCTGCATTATTTTGGAGTCATTGGAAAGAAAGCCTCCAGAGGTTAATTTAAGTTCAATTAAGGAATTTTGAGTTCACCTTTTTCTCAGTTTGACTAGTAGTCTTGTACTAGAAGAAGGACTGGACGCAGTCGTAACTTCTCTGGAGAGGTTCTCACTGAGATGTTGGTCGAGAATCCTGTCCTGGGGTGTGGGTGCTGGGAGTGCCCCCACATCCATCAGGGAAGTTGGGCACAGCTTTAATTATCTGCTTAACTCCCAAGAGTGCTTGTCTACCGAGAGAGTGTGAGTACGGATGTTTGTCTGTCTTGGCATAATTATCTGTTCATTAAATGGTCTATAAATATAAGTGTGAGAGCATGTGCAAAAGTGAAAACTACTTTGATTTATTCTGCACTTCTGTTGATTTGTCTGGCCAAAAATGTTTGATTTATTAAAGGCTGAACGCTATGATAATCTTCAAAGGTCTCAAGCAGCACTGCAGGTATTTATTTTTCTCAGAGACATTTGCTCTCTATCACAGAGGGAATCAGCCCACTTAGCTAATAAAGTTTCTGTCTATCTATAGTACGGGTGTTGGTTTGCTCTTCCCTAATTTATGATTTTATTGTATTAGGTTGAAATTTTGTAATTTTGGGGTAGATTTAAAGGTATAAATTTGTAAAGGGTTTAGCCCAGAGAAAATAAAGGCTGGCTAGGTTCCAAGATTGCTTCGGAAAAAAAAAAAAAAAAAAAAGCAAGAGAGAAGTTTTTCAAGTTAACTATTTGCAGCAAAGCAGTAAATTTCAAAGAACAAAAGGCGCTTTTTTTTTATGGCTTTCTTATATCTCCTCTGGCTGATGGAGGTTTCCAAGAAAAAATGTTTGCCTCCAAGCCTGGTAGGGTAGGGATACTGGGTGTTTCTGCGTTGGGATGTTCAAGCAGAGAAACTTTGAAATACAATATTTTTAAAAATATATTTTATTGATTTTTTTACAGAGGAAGGGAGAGAGAGTTAGAAACATCGATGAGAGAGAGTCATCGATCAGCTGCCTCTTGTATGTCCCCTACTGGGAATGTGCCCGCAACCAAGGTACATGCCCTTAACCAGAATTCAACCTGGGACCTTTCAATCCTCAGGCTGATGCTTTATCCACTGAGCCAAACCGGTTTCGGCTGAAATACAATATTTTATTGGCCGGATTAAAAGGAATTAATTCTACTGAATCTTCAATGTTACAACTGGTTTAAGTTTTAATAATCTTTAGATTAAATACATTTAACAGATTTTCCAAATGTAATATTTGAAGAATTTAAGTAAATGGCAGTTTTATGGGATCTCAAAGGCCCTGAGAACACAAAAATCTGTCTCTCTCCCTCTCAAAAAGAAATATTTTTTAACTAAACTAGACCAATACAATATACATGAAATTACATAAGGAAAATATAGCAGATTTTACTAGACAAGTTTTACCGGTAATTTACCTGCTGTTAGTTTTATTACAGAAGGTCTAGTTATATTTTCTTGAAAAAGTACATTTAAAATGTTTTAATAAATATTAATATAACAAATGCTGGCTGTTTACTTTTTGGTAATTATTGCTAAGAGTAAAGAATTCTGATACATTTTAAAGAATGATAGAAAGAAAAGGTCTACAAGTTGCTGATAGTGTGACAGAAAAAATATTAAAGTAAAGATACTTAATAGAAAGTTTAAGGCATAGTTGTGCATTTTTAAAGAACAGAGAAAAAAGTTGAAGGGTAATTTGAAAGTAGGAAATTTATAAAGATTATGTATATAATAAAAAGATCATAGAAAGGTTTTAGTAGCAAGAGAAAAAAGCAGTCAGAACAGGAGCAGGCATGAATGACTTGGGGAAAAAGTAAAAGGAAACTGCCAAGTGGAGGAGAAATGGGTCCGCAGCTGCCCTGGTGATGTAGAGCTTGTTACTAGGCAGACTCAGCCCCAAGAGCCAGGAGAAAGAAGGTAGGGAGATGCTGGATGCCCTAGTTGCCTACAGCCACCGGAAGAAACAGCAGCAGCAGCAGCAACAGTGAGAAAAGTGGAGAATGCCAGACAGTAACCTGACACCTGAGCTGTTGCCCAGTGAATTATAAATATTTTACAATGTACAATAAAGGACTTAAGTATTTGGCTTACTAGTTAAAAGGTTAAAACTGCAAAAAATAAAAATAAAAAATATAGGAACTCAGAACAACTCAGAGCACTTCTGCCCTTGTTGCTCTGACACTTGGCTTTGCTGGCAGGATAGAAGATGTGTGTGTCATCCCCGCTGGTGCCAGGGGCCTTGGGTGGTTTGCAGGCCAGCCGCATCACCAATCAGGGTGGGGGTTCCCGCTGGGGAACAGGGCCAGCCAGGTGATGGGCCATGCTTGTTCTGGTCTTTCTCGTCGTTCCACTGTTTTGATTGCTGGGCTTTTATTATTATATATAGGATTTCTTCTGTCTAAAATGTTTTATTTTTATCTCATTGACTTAATGAATCTCTTCTCATCCTCCCATATCTAACTCAAAAGTTGTGACCACTCTGTAGTCTTGCCCAACCATTCCAGTTAAGTCATTCTCTGCTGCGTCAAACCTCACTGCCTTGTACACAAAAGATAATAGAAGCTCAATGAGGAAAGAGATTATCTTTTTTATTCACTTTAATTCTCTGGCATCTACCCTGTTTCCCCAAAAATAAGACAGTGTCTTATATTAATTTTTTCTCCCAAAGTTGTGCTAGGTCTTATTTTCAGGGGATGTCTTATTTTTCAGGGAAACATGGTAGCATAGTACTTTGCCTAGAAAGGAAAGAGTAGGTTCTTAGTTTGAGTTCCCAGTGGTAGTCCATAAGTATGTATTTGAATTAATTAATTGAAAATACCTTTCTCATAGCAGTTAAAATATTATACTGAAATCATTTTGTATGCCCACCTCTTATACTATACTGAAAACTCCTAGGTTAGAACCGCATTTTATTATTGTCATATCCATTGTTCCTAATGCATTGTTTGATTCATAGCAGGCATGCATTTAACACATTTAATAAAAGAATGAATACCTAAAATTCACACAATAGGAATCCATTTCTTGGAATAAGAAATTTTGTTCCTAAATTTTTCCTTTTGAAATGTAAATATTCCTAAGGAGGAGGATAGAAGCCACTTTGGCAATTCAGACCTTAACAGAGATTTATTTGCCAGATCGATTGCCAAGACAATAGGTGCCAGCTGATAGGTACTTAGGACAGAACATCATGCAGTACAACAGGTCTATAACAGGGGACACAGTACAGGCTCCTGAGCTGTCTGAGTGTTGCCTAAAGTCACTTAATGTCTTGAAGAAGAAGAAAGGCTGGTGTGCTTGTAAATATCTCTATGTACTAGTATAAGGTTCTTGAAAGTGGAGAGTGAAGCAAATGGTCAAATAAATTGGTTGCTCATTGGATGAGAAAAAGGTTAGTCTGAGAAATTCACAGATAGAAAAAAAAAGTCTCCTAAGATTTTACCATTCTGAGCAGACAACTCATACATGGAAACACATAGGCAGCACACACAGAAGGACATGGAAAAACATAGACAGCAAACACTGATATCAAGTGGATATCTGAATGTAAAGTATCTCCATTTTGCATAGCACTGGCTCTGGATAGTGTTTTGTGCCACTTTTGGTTCTGCAATATGGTGAGCACTCAGGCATGGAATTGCTGGCAGGAGCCCCAAACACTACTTGAAATCAACAAGGCCATTGACATAGTCCCTACTCCCTAGAAAGAGCATATCAAGAAAGCCCACCTTGACATTTACATTCCTTAGTGAGCACCTGGAGCTTGCTAGCTAGAGGAAGGAAAAATGGATGGAAAAAATAAGGTTTCAGCCTGTTTGAGAATTAGATTTATCTGATTATACGAAGTTGCATGCAGAGTTAAAATCACTTAATGGGTCTATTTTCAAAGCTTCTCTTCATCAATTTCAAGAAAAGTGCTTTTCTAGGGCTCTTTGTAAGATTTAGATTATTTATGCCTCAAGCAAGCTGGAGTATATAGTTTCTAAGGAAGAGGGGGAAAAAAATAAACAAATAATTTAAAGAGGCCTAAATAGATGAACCAGAGAGTGAAGATTCAAGAAGTTGGAAGTTGTTGTATAAGAAATTGGGGATGTCATTACTTCTAGGCCACAGGGAATCAAGTGCTCTGGAAAACAGAATCAGTTCTGCACCTCAGTGAATTCAGCAAGAGTTGAATGTTTTGCTGGTTTAATTTGAGGTACAGAAAGCTCTTCCTTACTTTCCTTCCCTTACTCTAGAGTAGGGGTGTCGAACTCAATCAGAGAAGGGGCCAAAATCTAAAATCCAGCCTAAATCGCGGGCCGAATGGTTTACTGAACAGTCATAAACTGTCATTGTGATGGAAACGCAGCGGAGTGCAGTGATGACAGCGCGGTGCGGGCCACATTGCAAGGCCTGGCGGGACGGATTTGGCCCTCGGGCCTTGTGTTTGACACATGTGCTCTAGAGCTTTCAATTACCATCATTATAGTCATTTCCCCCCCTGTGAGATAAGGTGCTCAAGTAAAATGGAAAAACCCCTGGGGACACAAATACATTAACTTCTTATTAGATTTAACTACCTTAGCACCAATTCATTTATGGCTACCAAGGGAACACCCCTAGAAGAAGAGAGTAGAGAATCAAATATTGGAAGAAAATTAAAGTTTAGAGCTGAGCCTGGCTAGGGTTTGGAACACAGCAGTCTGTGTTAAACAGGAAATGTGGTGAAAGAGCCCTGAACAACTTGTGAGCAGAGGGCAGTGAAGCAACCTAGAAGAAACTCGGGGAAATAACAAATACCATGAACAATCCCTTGATGTCACAATTTTCTAAGATTGACTCTGAGGGAAATATTAAAAGGTGAGCTTGTCTCCTTCTTCTCACTCTCGTACTTCTGAAAATACTCTTTTATTTATGTTTATGATACTCTTTTATTTATGTTTACACTGCCAATCTCCAGAAATAGGAAATCCATCCATCACCAGAAATAGGATTGAGAGGATACTTTGTGCTTTTCCTTAAGTAAAGCTGAGATGTCACAACTCAAAAAAGCTGTACTGTTATCAACAGTCAGGAGTCTAGGTAAGCACATTGATGCAGCTCTGAACTCTAATACATACCTCAGTCTAACCAAGATCTAACAGGAAGTGTAACTAGCTCTGGTCAATCATGTTCATTTTCTTCCTTTTGGGACTGTAATTACCTACCCCAAGTTGAGTTTCAGTTTGAAGCCTTCATCCTCATTACTTACCATCACTCTTGTTCACAGAATAAAACCATCAAAGCTAGCCTGGCTGGCATCCCTTTGTGGTTGAGCATTGACCTATGAACCAGGAGGTCACGGTTTGATTCCCAGTCAGGGCACATGCCTAGGTTGCGGGTTCATTCCTCAGTGTGGGGTGTGCAGGAGGCAACCAATCAATGATTCTCTCTCATCATTGATGTTTCTGTCTCTCCTTCTCCCTTCCTCTCTGAAATCAATAAAATATATACTTAAAAAAATAAAACCATCAAACTTGATTTTGCTTATTTTATTGCCAGCTCTCTCCTACTCAGTTGAACCATTTTTGTGTCATATTCCTCTGCTTTCTGAAGCTCCTCTGGTCTCCTCTTTCACTCTGCCCCCTGGAGTCTAGTTCTATTGTCAATAGCATTTCTTACATTTTTTACCTTCTTCCCCCCACCACATACACACACAGTATTCCCTCTTGCCCTGTGATCTACCTACTGCTTACTGACTTCCCCCTAAAATCTCTGCTTCCCTCATGGAATCTAATGAACTAACAAGCAGAATAGAGAAAGACTCATAGCAGATTGACAGCTGTCAGGGGTAGGGGTGGGGACTGGGGGATGGGGAGGAGGGATTGAACATAAAAGAAAAAATAGAAAAAACTCATAGACACAGACAAACGCATTAATTGCTGAGGGGAACAACTTGGAGGGAGGAGGTAGGGGGGGTATAGTGGGGTTAAATGGTAATAGAAGGAGACTTGACTTAGGGTGATAAACACATCATACAATATAGAGATGATGTATTGTAGAATTGTATACCTGAAACCTGTATGTTTATTAACCGTGTCACCCCAATAAATTCAATAAAAAATAAAAATAAACAAAACAATAGAAAGATGTTGAGGGGAAATGTGGCATGGAATATTGGGTTCACTTCTCTGGGCTCCTCTCCTCTCTTCATCTTGATCTATTAATTCTTCCCTGCCACTTTGTTCTTCGGTGTCTTAAAATTGATTGATTTATATTTTGAACAGCTTTTTTGTTGTTCTCAGTTAAAGGGTTGATCCAAATCAGAAGGACTGACTTATTCATTAGGCACAGTAGACACTGTACCTAAGGCCCACAGTAGTATTAGAGGCCCACAAAAATATTTTAATTTTTAAAATAAGAAGTAAAAATGAAATTTTAGCTTGAAGAAGGTATTTTAAAATGTAATTTTAATATGCCCATCATTATACCTATGTAGTCATAAAATAAAATATTTAATATACAATACTTTATAGAGAAACAAATTCATGAAGGGAAAAGTGCCTAGAGCTCACAAAAATCATAAGGTGGCCCTAAAAGCAAGTCTGTCATTACTGAAAGCAACATTTCTGGAGGCACTTTATTTTTTTGTTTGTTTATTTATTAATTTATTTGGAGGTCCTTTAAGGGCATTAAGACTACTGTAATAATCCAAATAACATTTTATACTTTGCAAAGTACTTTTTACCCACCATCTTATTTGAGACTTCCAAGAATCTGGTGAGCTAGATAGGACAGGTATTAGTTTACTATTTTGACACATGAAGGAAATGAGACCCAAAGAATTTAAGTGTGTTATCCATGGTGCCACACAAGTCAGTAATAGAATCAGAATTAGATCCTACATCTGAATCTGAACAGTGTTCAGAAATGCATTGTGCAATATAATCATAGAACATAATATCACATGATAACCTGTTTTTTAAAAAGCTGAGAAAAATACTTGCTTATATCAATGAGCATACTTTTCCATGAGTCATAAAATCTGAGTTCTATCCCTGGCTCAGCACTAATTTATTGTGTGACCTTGAAATAGTCAGTCTTAATCCTGTCCCTCCTCTCTAAAATAAAGCACTTGGAGAGCTCAATCTGAAATCCCCCACTAGCTCCATTTATTTGTTTTTAATTGTGTAATATGTCTTTTTTATTATTGAGGTATATGAGTCCTTATAGGAGTTCTTTTTACATTCAGTGAACCTAACAAGCCAAAACATACATCCTGAAAAATTTTAAGAATGCTTCGAATAAAAAGAACAATTGTAATTATCTTCATTAACATAAATGGCCTGCCACATAATAGTCAAGAGTACTGTCTTCCTTGATGTAACAAACTAAAGCATATAGAGGAAAAGAGCCCCAATAATTAAACAAGAACATGTCAGTTAAATGTCATTTCTCCTATTATCTGCAGGGTCTCAGAGACAAATCAATAAGTGTGGAGCCAGGTCCCTGTCCACTTTGCCACTGCCTTTATTAATATTGCTTTTTTCTATTCTATTAATATCACAAATACCAGCAAACAATTTATGTTTAAACCTTTCCTACTTCCCTTGTAGTAAGGCATGGCAGTTTAAAAGCAGAAAGAGCTATATTTGTCTTGAGTCCCATATACTTGAATTCTAGAATAATCCTCCACATAAAAGCCATTTTCAAGCTAAATCACTGAGTTACTTACACCACATTGTGATCTAAGGAGAACACAGAGCATACAAGTGGCAAGAATATTCAGGGGACTGGGCTTTAATTGCTGCTACTTAAGGAAATAGTTACATTCTATTCTCCTCAGGCCTGTGTATTATCTATGTCTAGGAGATAGGGAAATAACACTCCTTTGTGAGTGAGGACACCAGGGCTTAGGGCCTACCTTACCACAGACATTCATTACATAAATTTGGTCAACCCTTCCTTCTTTGGGCCTTCGTCTCCTGCTTGTACAAGGAGGAGGATAGATTAATGATTTCCAAGAGTCCTTTTGTTCTAAACATTTATGATTCTATTCTCAATCGGTTTTGTAATGTATGGGCTCCTACAGTCTTTCCCAGGTTTCATGAACCATAATTACTTATATTCCCTGAGTCATGGCTTCACTCAGTGCTGCTACCAGTATGTGACACTAGGATGCTAACATTGCTAACACCGACTGCCTGACATTTTGCCAGTTGTACTGCTCACATGGGTGGATAAAAAGATTTTAAGATCATGATCTGACAAGTCAAGATGCCTGAGGGAACTAGGGTGAGAGTGGAGGAAGGAAAGAAAAACCTCAAGATGTAAGGCTTCACTTTAAGCAACATGCAAGCCACATGTTTTCCATTAACACCATCAAAACCTTGCTTTGTGACAGGCAGAATGTTACTGGAGGACCTAGCAACCTCTTTCCCAAGAACATGAGTTGTTGTTTTTTTCCATGCTTATGGCCTTTTTTCCTTCTGTAAGACTCATACAGTATGGGTTATCCATTACCCTGGCAGGGAACAGCTCCATTTTCCAAAATGGAGATGCCCAAAGTCATATACATAAGAATTAAGAAGCACATGCAACTAATAATGTGGCTGCAATGCTGAGGCACACTGCTATTAAAGTGCAGGGAAGAGGAAGGGAGCAGGGATGGAAAAGCTAGAAGGATGAGGGATAGAGAGAGGAGGGCAGAGAACAGAAGGGAAGGAAAAAGGAAATAAT